TTTCAAAATATATATTTTCCCAACCTTTCCACACATGTACTATTGTACTACTATGATAGAAAGGACTTACATTCTGCAGGAAAACCTGCAAGCTCAGGTATGTTTTTATTTCTTATATACTTCCTAGATTTATGTTCCTTTACATTCTATTACCATCAAACCCATTGCTCTGTTTGCACCACTGCTTCTCGAGTCCGGGATGGGAGGCAAAAGGAGCGCTGTTTCCGCAGTGTTCCACCACAGCAGATCTCCTTGCCTGGGGAGGATCCTCTCTCCGTGTTTGGGAAGGCAGAAAGGGTGATGGTGGAAGAGCAGAGTGGATAAGGTGTTGAGTGAAGAGAGAGAAAAACAGGCAAAGTAGGAGTTGGGCCCAGGTGTGAGAGGGAAAAAGCAGGAAATGTGATTGACCTGAAACAGCTCCTTGAAAGAGTTCAGTTTTCCCAAAGGGAATTTTGCAGGCGCCACAAACTCCAGTGCCATCTTTAGTGCCATCTACTGGGAAGCATGGGAACCAGATCGACCGGAGCTGGGAAAACAAAACACCGGGTCCCACCTTCAGTCTAAATATAAGAGGGGCGTTTTTATGGAGACCAGACCCTTACCTGTCTAACAAGGATCTAAGACTCTCAGCAAACACCTCTTCTGTGCATTCCTCACCCTTTACACACACATGGTTCCAGAACTCAGCCATGTGTTGCAACTTACCTCCCAAGCTACTCAGGAAGCTCTAGAACATCAGGAGCTGCATCGCTTCCCTTCCTGTCCTCAGTACAAGCATGGAGTCTGGCACAGAACAGCATCTCCAAGAATAACCAAATAAAGAAAAGCCTATTGAATATAAGGAAAACTCAACTTAAGAAATCTACTTCTTGGGGCACCTGGGTGGCTCAGTGGGTTAAAGCCTCTGCCTTCAGCTCATGATCCCAGGGTCCTGGGATTGAGCCCCACATCAGGTTCTCTGCTCGGCAGGGAGCCTGCTTCCCCCTCTCTCTCTCTCTGCCTGCCTCTCTGCCTGCTTGTGATCTCTGTCAAATAAATAAATAAAATCTTAAAAAAAAAAAAAAGAATTCTACTTCTTGGGGTTTCTGGGTGCCTTGGTCCATTAAGCATCTGACTTTGGCTCAGGTCATGATCCCGGGGTCCTGAGATCAAGCCCCATGCCCAGCTCCTAGCTCAGTGGGGAGCCTCCTTGTCCCTCTCCCTTTGCCCCTCCCCACCCGCTCTGGTGCTCTCTCAAATAAAATCTTGTTTTAAAAAATTCTACTTATCATCAACCATTACTTGACAAATTTATAGAAACCGAATGGAAGACAAACCACAAGAGAAAAACTTGATTACGTATGGTTTAATAAAGTCTTTGGGCTTTCTTTAGCCCTCAGGAAGTACGCTCAGGGCCCAGTCACAGTGGGGAGTGGGCTGTTGTGCTCCATGGACAGAATTACCCTGTGCAGCAAGCTGACCTTGCCCCACCGTCAACCACTCAAAGGACAAAGGTGAGGTGTGCACAGGTGCATAGATGTATAAAATAATACAAAATACCATTTGGTTTTTCTTTTTTTTTTTATTTAGATTTTTTATATATTTAATAAGAGAGCGAGAGAGCACAAGGAGGGGGAGCAGCAGAGGGAGGGGAAACGCAGGCTCCCTGCTGAGCAAGGAGCCTAATATGGGGCCCCGATCCTAGGACCCTGGGATCATGACTTGACCCGAAGGCAGAGACTTAACTGACTAGCCACCAGGTGGTTTTGAACCCCAGTTCCTGACACAGGGTTCCATAAAGTCCTATCATTTCCTGGGTGATAGAAGCATCTTTTGTTCTAACGAGGTGACTCTTGGTAGGTTCTTGGATGGGAACTGGTCCCCAGAAAGATAAAGCCATGGTTCAAGAGGAAGCTTGGAATTTTCAACTCCCTTCTCATTCTCTGGGGAAGAGAGAGGGGCTGGAAATTGAGTTAACACTCAGTCATACCTACATGATGAAGCCTCCATAAAAATCCCAAGAGTACAGGTTCTGAGACCTTCCAGGTGGGTGAACACGTGGAGGTGCAAGGAAGGTGGCGTGCCCAGAGGGGAGCTCCACACCCCTTCCCAGACACCTTGCCTTGTGCATCTCTTCCATCTGCTTGTCCCTGAATTGTACCCTTTGATAATAAACTGGTGACCTAAGTTAACAGTGGCCCTCAGTTCTGTGAGCTGCTTTTGCTGATGATTGAACCGGAGAAGGGGCCATGGGAACCCATGACTTACGGCTCGTTGCTGAGCACAAGCGACCACCTGGAGTCCCGATTCTGAGACACACCTGAAGCCGGGCAGGGAGTCTCTGGGTCTGCACTAACCTCAGGCAGATGTGTCCAATTTGATGTGTCCAATTTGTAGGACACCTTGCTGGTGGTGACGAGCTGGAGCATTGCTTGGTATGGAGAAAAAAACCCTCCACATCCAGCGTAAGAGTGCTGTGAGTCTGAGGAAAGGCAAACACAGTGTGTTTTTCCTAGACAAAGTGGGAGAACATATTCCATCAAGTGAATGTTGCCGCTCGTGTCTCAGAGCTAAGCCATGGATGGGAGTAGCATAGCCGAATCACACAACTGCTCACGTAACCTTTACCTCAATCGTCCTCAACTTTGGCTGCACATGATCACCTAGAAAGCTTCTGACAGTCTGATGCATAGGCTGTCTCCCAGACCAAGTAAATGAAGAATCTCTACAGGTGGTACCCAAACCTCGGTATTTTTTTTAGTATCCCAGGGAGCACACTGTTGGTGAGAATGGAAAATGGTGTAGCCACTGAGGGAAACAGTATGGCAGTTCCTCAAAAAATTAAAAATAGAGCTACCTTATGATCTAGCAATTCCACTTCTGGGTATTTATCAGAAAATTAAAATACTAGCTCAAAAAGATATGTGTCCCCCCATGTTTATCGCATCATTATTTATAATATCCAAGATATGAAAACAACCTAAGTGTCTATCATTGAATGAATGGATAAAAAAGATGTGGTAACATATATACAATGGAATATATTCTGCCATAAAAAAGAATGAAAACTTGCCATTTGAGACAACATGGAGGACTTTGAGGCCATTATGCTAAGTGAAATAAGTCAGAGAAAGACAATTATCATATGCTCTTACTTACATGTGGAATCTTATAAAACAACAAAGACCCTAAAACCAAGCTTACAGATAGAACAGACTGAGGGTTGCCGGGGGTGGGGGGGGCGGTGGGTGCAATGAGTGATGGGGGTCAAAAGGTACAAAATTCCAGTTATAAAATCAGTCAAGGGAATATAATGTACAACATGGTGACTATAGTTAATAATACTATATTGCATATTTGAAAGTTACTAAGAGCAGATCTTAAAAGTTCTTATCATATTCAAAACATTCCCCAGGTATATTAGTTTTCTATTACTGCTATAAGGATTTACCATGGATTTAGCGGCTTAAAACAAAACGCATTTATTATCTTTTATGTCTACAGTGCTAAAGACCGAAAGAGGCTCACTGGACTAAAATCAAGATGTTGGCAGATTTGCATTCCTTATTGGAGGCTCTGGGGGAGAATCAGTTCTCTCACCTTTTCCAGGTTCTAGACGCCGAGGAGCTCTTTAAATCTTCAAAGCCAGCAACCATCAGTGGAATCTTTCTCATACTGGATCATTCTGACATTAACTTTTCTGCACCCCACCCCCCGCCAATTTCAAGACCCTTGTGATTGTGTTGGGCCCACCCAGATAATCCAGAATAATCTCCTATCTTAAAGTCAGCTGATTCACAATATCAAATCCATCAGCTACATGAATTCCCCTTTGCCATGTAATGTAACATATTCATGGGTTACCAAGATTAGGACATGTTAGACACATCTGGGGACCATTATTACCATATCAGTTGACTCTAACATGAAGCTGAGAACTACTGGTTTACCCATAGGAGGGACTAAAGAAGTGGCTCAGTTAGCAAGCTGGGCCGTGATGGAAGACTGGAGCCGCACACTGAGAAACTGGAGTGTTGGGAGGGGTGAGAGAGGGGCAACAGATGGTTACAGAACTTGTCTCGCAGGAGGAGGGGGTTGTCGTGTGATTTATTATTGCTCAGTCTCTGAGTCCTGGGAAGTTAAACTGTGTACTACCCCAAGGATGGTGGGACCATCTCCACGCAGGAGTAGCCATTGCAGAAAACATAGGTCATGTCGCAAGATGGGACTTCAGCAGACTTCCGGGACCAGTAGCTAACAGCTTGCTCCTTGTTTTCGGCTCACTCAGAGCCTGGGTGTGTGCCAGATTCTCAAGTGCTCTGGAGCTTTCCCGGTGGAAGATGCAAACTACCTGCCCACAGGTTAGTTACGGCTTGAAGACTTTTTTTTAAGATTTCATTTATTTCTCAGAGAGAGCACACAAGCAGGGGGAGCTGCAGGCAGAGGGAGAAGCAGGCTCCCCACTGAGCCAAGGAGCCTGATGTGGGACTCGATTCCAAGACGCTGGGATCGTGACCTGAGCAGAGGGCAGACACTTAACCGACCGAGCCACCCAGGTGTCCCTTGAAGATACTTTCTGACTGGCCAATATTTTAACAGCCACACACATGGAAACATTCAGGATTTCTGGCTTTTCTTCATAGACCTAGCTTTGCTGGGACAGCATTCTGTCAGGACCCCTCTCAGCTGCTCCCGTTTGAGGGAGCCCTTTTTTTCCGGTCTGCTGCAGCCTTCATCCTAGCCTTGTTGTTTTATGCCTGCTCACTTCACACAGGTATGTGATTTGCCTGGTCTGGAAGGTATCTGAGTTCACAGGCTTCCCCCTCCTTCAGAATTCCTGTGCCTAAAGTTGGGCTAAATTCTCATAAAGACCCATTTGCGTGTCGTCAGTACAAAAGTGAAGAGCTGTGAGATGTTAACTAGACTTATTGTGATCATTTCGCAATACATACAAATAACCAATCATGCTGCACTCCTGAAACTAATGTTTTATGTCAATTATATCTCAATAAAAAAGAAATAAAGAGAAAATGGAAACTCATCCCCACCCCCCTAAAAGAGGGAGTAGTTTTCCACTGGGGAAAGATGGGACACAACCAAGGGCATTGCCTGTACACAGAAAACTCTTTTCTCACAACTTAGGGAGCACACCAAGGGGAGTAAAGACCAGTATCTGAGAAAACCGCCTGAGTCACCATGTGTTCCAGGGAGCAAAGTGGCCTCCATTGGTTAAAAATCTCTTCGAAGGAAATAAAGCTGAAAGCTGCCAAACTGTAATTTCTGTCGGCTGGTCTTCCTTCAGCCTTTGGAGGTACACCAAATCAATTTCGCTCTTCTTTCGTACCCACAGACTTCCAAAATTTTGAAGACAACTGTCATTACCCCTGCCGGCCTCTTCCCACTTCCGAAGGCTCCTTTCCAACAAGCCTGCCTACTCCCCTGGGCAGCTCTTCTTAGATGGTTGAGACCTCATCTTCATTCTGGTAAATCTCTAGCTTGGCTGTGCCACCCAAATGTGCTATCCCAAAGCCAGCAGTCTGAGAGAGTGAGAGGACAGAAGGGCAGTCAGAGTAGATCCTCTGACTCAGACCCGGGTCCTCTACCACCTGTCCTAACACTGCATGAGCTTACAAGTTAGAAGACAATGGGAGGATTCCCAAACTGAGGCCCTTTGAGGTACAGGGACATGACAAGACACAGCCTTCCCTTTACATGGCTCCAGGGAAAGATCCTCCCTTTAAGGAACATCAAGTCTTGGTAATGGGTAAAATCCAAAAACCCTACTCTGTCCTCACATCCTTTCTCCTCAATGGGCTGACAAGATTTTGTAAGGATGACACCCTACCTTTGAAATATGCTTCACCTCAAGAGGTTAGAGTCCATTTGAAAGGGCCTGTAAAGTAAGTTGGGATGGTGTATGGTGATAATGCTTACTTTCCATGGCACTGCTCATTAAGTCAGCTTTGGCATAATTAGGAGAGATGAAATTCAAGCCAATCTCTGAACTGCTGCTTCTACAGATTCGATAAATAGGTAGATAGGACTGATGCTGCTGGCTCAAATGAGATTTGAGGTTAGATGTAGCTTTGGCTTAACATTCCTTTATTTCATTAAATGAGATAGTGTACGTGAATCAAAGTTACCGGAACATGCTCATTTTTATTACTAATCCATGTTTTCTGGCCACTCTTAACCATCTTTATATCCATCACAGTCTTTGTGCTGGGTCCCACACGTCAGTCAATGGAGAGTAGACCAGCTCTGGAGACTTCAGTCAGCTGTCTCTGACATGCAATTATGGGGCCACTTACATCCATCCCTTCCACTGAGAACAGAACAAAAACCTTAGGCTACAAGGTTTGGGTAGCTGAGAAAAGTTGTTAGAGTGGGTTAGCATGTTTTTACAACTTGGAATCATGTCCGCAGCGGTTCCATCTGGAGGAAGACAGAGTGGATTAGATGTTTTCTCAAATCTCTCACATCTATGGAAATCCTACTCTTTTTATAGTCTTTTGGCATAGAAAGCTGTTATCTCACTTGAGATCATTCCTACAGAACCAATAGGAAGGTAAAGCAAAAGCAAACCAGCGATCAAATTTGATCGTCTTCCATCCTAAGGAGCTCGGTGTACAGTCATTAAGGCATCAGCATCTGCTGGGGGCTCCAGCAGGGAATCCTACTCAAGGACACAGGAGAAGCAGAGGGAATCAACCCGAGTGGTACTAAAGAGGACAGGATGGGAAGGACATTTTCTATTTCCCCAGACCTTCAGGCAACCCCACTAAGGTGGAGGTATGAAACCAGGAAAAATGCAAGGCTTAAAAAATACTGTGCATTATAATTCTTCAATCTCTGGAAGGCTAGGAGCCCAAGGTCAGTGTGGCAGGAAGCGGAGCAGACTTCCCGGCCCAGCAGTCACACAATCTTCACGGTCTTGAGCATATCTGACAGTACATACGTGTCATCCCAGCCCCTCCCAGGCTTCCTCAGGGTCTGCTCCAAGGCCTGGGCCATTTCCAAGACCTCTGGCGTGGCAAGTTTCTGCTCCGAGCGCAGCTGGCAGAACAGGATCTCATTTACTTCACCCTCAATTCGCCGCACATACAGGAGAGGGAAGACCTCTTTGAGCCCCGTCAGAACTGAGTCCTTCAGCCCCAAGTCCCGGCACACAAGGTTGAGGATAAAGACACCTACAGGGTAGGAAGGAAACAGTCATGTCTGGCAGATCGGGGACACGCTGGAGACAAGGTTCAGCTCTGAGAACAGACCGATTCCTGCTGGTGGCCTAAGAAAACCCAGCTGCAGTGAGTCTGCAGAGAGCACACTGCGTATGAAGGCAGGAATATGTGAACGATGAGAAAACATCAAGCTAATTTCTTGCTCTTCTGTGCTGGTAACAAATTACTTTGCCATTCTCCTTGCCTCAGTTTCCCAAAGAAATGCTTTGAGAAAGAAGTAATTAATACTCCAAGAAAAAAATGTACCAACTCCACAGGGGTGTCACACTCTTGACATATACACTTTGGGGTGTTCCGCAGCCAGGAAGAGGGCCAAGGTTACCTTGACCTAGAACAATGAAGTTCCCAAAATCTATGTTCACCCAAGTGCCTGACACCAAACCAAAACATCGGGGAGGCCGTCAACGTGAGGGCGAAGAGCTCTAGCTTCCAAGAGACGTTGGCGCCACAGCTTGTTACCTTGTGGCACCTTGGCAAAGTTTCCTTACTTCAGTTTCCTTATTTGAAAATGGGCTGCTGTGACGACAAAACAGCACAACGTCTAGGCCGGGCCCATGGAAAGAAATCAGATGGTAGCTGGCATGACCGTGCTGGGGGAGATGTGAATTGCTGCACACGGTAAAACTGTTCGGCAACATCTAGGAAACCCCAGCTTACAAGTCAACTCTGATCCAGTAATTACAACCCCACCTACATGCCTGACAGACCTGCAAATGCATTTCACTGAAAGGCACCTACTGGACTGTCGATGTCAATACTGCTTACAAAAGCCTCAAGTAGGAAATAATCCAACAGCACAGCAGATGGGAGAAACAAATGCGCTCCAGACACACAACGACACTACACAACAATAAAAATAACAATGTAAACACAACACTATGGATAAATCTCACAAAGATCATGTTTCGTGAAGGAAAACAAACAGTATGTTCCATAAGATTCCATTTACACAAACAACAAAAATGGGCAAAACTAAGCAGTACTGACTGAAGTTAGGATGGGNAACAAAAATGGGCAAAACTAAGCAGTACTGACTGAAGTTAGGATGGGGTTCTCCTTGAGAGGAGGAGTTACAGGAGGAGGTAAGGGGTGGACCCTCTGGTGGGCTCCAAGTGTTCTGTGTTTTCAGAGTAAACGGATGTGTTCACTGCGGGGAAATTCATCAAGCTACACACTTATGCACACTTTTTGTTAAAAAGAAAACAATTTTTAAAGGCCCCATCCCACCTCCCACCCCAACCTTTTGTACTTCCTACCTTCAGGAGTCAAGATGCTTTTGACCTTTTGCAGGAAAGGCTGGTCCACAAAAGCTGGTGGTGGGCAACTCATTCCCAGTGTTGGGTCCTTGCTGTCAACATCAAACATGACGACATTGTAGTGGGGCCGAGCTGGGAAGAGAGAGGCAAACGAGTCTTCGTCTAACACCATCTACGTTCCTACACCACACGTGCCCTGTGACCTGTGGTGGCCGCAGGCGGCTACGTCAGAAGGATGACCTGGACGCCATGGCTTGTCTGTAAGGGCACTGACGTCACTGTCCAGGGGAGTCGCTGTCACTCAGGGTTCCGCTGTAAGTACCCCACATGATAGCCAGGGCTTTGACCTGATCTTTTCCTCCACATTTAAAAGCACCTTCCAGAGACGCCTCGGTGGCTCAGTGGGTTAGGCCTCTGCCTTCGGCTCAGGTCGTGATCTCAGGGTCCTGGGATCGATCCCCGAATCGGGCTTGGGGATCTCTGCTCGGCGGAAAGCCTGCTTCCCCCTCTCTCTCTGCCTGCCTCTCTGCCTACCTATGATCTCTCTATCTGTCAAATAAATAAACAAAATCTTTAAAAAATAAAAAAAAATAAAAGCCCCTTCCATAAGCACACATAGTCATGGGGTCCACACTAGCGTCATTGCTACTTGGTTAAGAGTCCATCTGTACCAGTAATTTTCAATCCCAGCAGAACCTCAGGGTCACCTCAGGATAGTTGAAATACTTGGGAGAACCCGGGCTCCATTCCTGACCACCCGAGTCAAAAACCCTGGTGTGGGAAGGAACAGGTAGGAGGGGAGACAGGAAGCCTCAAGTATTTTTAACTCCCAGGTAATTCAAAATACAGGCAGAGTTAAGAACTATTGATTTACGCAAAGCAGCTGCCTAAGCCTTTAAGGACTGACCTAGCAAGTGGTTGCAGGGGAAAATGTTATCAAATTAAAGTTAGTGTATTTTTTCTAGTACTTGAATAACTAACTGCGGGCTCAAGAAAAAAGATCTTGCTACCTGGGTGAGAAAGAACGGATGATGCGTGAGATGCGCCCCTTGCTCTATCGGAAACAGTTTTTACAGGGGTAACCTGCAATGCTACGGACTTGCAGCAAACTTTGAGACCACGATAATGGTTATTCAATAATGAATAAATACTGACTTAGGGCTACTGCATGCCCATTACCGGGCATGGCACAGATCTCGTTTCGGTTTCTTAGAGAGCAGAACAAGGTGGCTCATCGAAGTCCAAGGACAACCACAGCTCACATCTGTAGCACTGAGCCCTCTAACAACCTTGCTTGTTAGAGACAATTGCCAGGCTCTTCAAAACTGACTGACAGGCAGTAACGATGGCCACACATCACAGACTGAGTGCCGTCCATGAGCCTTGAGCAGTTTCAAAGATTTCCCACGTACTAGCTATGTTGGGCCCGGGTCCCCACACGGGCCCCAGCCTCAGAGAGGTAACCTGTAAAGCTCTGATAGACTTAGATACACTTCATAGAAAGTTCAGCTTGCAATTAAAATTCCTGCACCATCTGTCTATCCCAGCACCAAAATACTCACCCCAGGCACCCTGCTCTGCCACACCCTAACCGGGAGATGCTCTGATCCAGTGAGAACCAGAGGATGAGGTATGGAACAGACAGACCAGGAAGGGTGTGTGGCTCGAGCTCCCAGGTTCACTTAAGACAGAACCAACCTGGCTGACTTCTCCCTGAGGGACCCATGCTCCGGGAAGGACCAGCCCCCAGGAGCCTACATATAACGTGGCAAAAGGAGCACAGGAGCTATTGCAGAACATTAATATGCTTTGTCCTACGTCTGAGATAGGAAACATGAGAGCAAAACGGAGCCTTAACTGCAGCACAGCAGGGCCACCACAACCCGGCTGAGCAGCCTCTGCTTCAGCGATTCTCAGCCTCAGCACCACTGACACTGGGGACAGATAATTCTCTGTCAGGGGTGGCTGCCCCGTGCATGGCAGGATGTTGAGCAGGATCTCTGGTCTCTACTCACTTGCTGCCAGAAGCACCCTCACCTGTGCTTACAAGGGCCAATGACACGTCGGCAGACACGGCCCGACGCCTCCAGGGGTACAAGCACTGATCTACACGAATGCTGTCTGGCTCTCTCTGCTTCACCCCCAGCTGGAAGACTGAATAAACAACTCCCCACACACACCCCAACTTTTCTTCCCCTTTTCCTCACCCAGCTACACACCTTAGGGGTTCCTTGGGAGGATGAGGAAGTGGCAAGGACACAGAGTCAGAAGAGAACCAGGAGAAAAGCCCGCTGATCCGTTAGCACCCCAAGGGCAGACATGGTCGATTTTCCTTGTTGCTGTATCCCAACCGCCCAGCTCAGTGCTGAGGACGTGGCTGGCACTCCAGATTTACTGAATCAGTACATCAACCAATGAGGAACACATCAACGGGCGAAAGACGGGGACAAGATTAATTGTCATAGATGAAGCCTAGAGGCCCGTGCAGGTCTGCTGACTTTGAGGACTCTTCTCCCAACACCCCTCCAAATTCTCCAAAAGCTGCAGTACCTTCTCTTCCCGCCAGGCTGGTAATATAGTCCAGGCCGTCTGCAACATGGACCTTCATCCGATCGCTCTGGGAGAAGCCAAACCACTGGGTGGCCACTTCCAACATGCAGGGGTCGATCTCCACAGCATCAATGCAGGACTTCGGGAAATGATCGTGGACAAAAAGAGGGAGGCTGCCCCCACCCAGGCCTACTACCAACAATGCCAGTGGGGTCTCTGCAATAAAGGAATAAAGAATCATTTGACAATCCGCTCACTGAAAGTTTTGTACTAGCCTTGGGGAGGGCTAAGGAGGGAGCTGGATTATTGGCTCTGCCCAGGGGATACAAGATTTAGAGGCCCAGCCTCTCTGTCTCATCCCAGAAATTTAGGGGCCAATCTGACATCTGAAAACTCAACCCTGGCCTCACAATCCTTCCTCTACTACATCCAGAAGCTGAACCGGTGTGTTATTATTACAGAGCCTTAAAGATCCCAAAGCTCTCAGCTGATATCATACCAAGAGTCCCCACCGTATGCATGATCAGACTTCCCCTAGGAACTGGGAGGAACAATGGCCAACGTCTCACTCTACAAGGCAGTGTAGATGCAATGCCCTCTGCCCAGCTTTCAACTCAAAGGCCACAGGTGCCCTCTCAGACACATCAGCCAAGTAAGGCATTCCACCCAAGTTCCAGAAATCATAGGAAAACAAAGGCCCAAATCCTAGTCCTAAGTACAGAGAAAGCTCAGCAACCATAGGCAGACAGAAGAAGACAAGAAACAAGAATCACCGGAAGGAGACATTAAACTAGGATTGATATCCGAGGATTAAACCTAAGAACTGAGACTCTAGGGACATACAGCAACACCAAGATAAGCCAAGAGCATAGGGTGTTTCATAAGACATCCTCGGGCCTTTAGGTGAACAGTTAAAAGCCTAGACAGAAAAGTGAACATTTTTGCTACTGTGGTCAGATCCAAAGTAATTACTTATTAGTAATAAGCCTATGACTGTTCTACCAATAATAATAGATTTCTTAATGTAAATAGAAATTCGAGAAAGAATTGCATCTGGTGCTCAAATAATGCAGTACTGAAAGCCAGAAATTCTTTCCAAGCGCACAGGAATTTCTGGAGTCATGATTTTTAAATGTTCCATCTGGTTACATGGGTAGACACATGCAAACACTCAATAAACTGAACCTCTTAAAATCTGTGTACTTTCTGTAGCTCACTACATACATTTTATCAACATTATTATTATATTAATTGTCAATATTGATAATTACATTATCAATATTACTAATAATTATATTAGTTATTTATGTTATTAACATGTTAACAGTAATATATCGATTTTATTACTAACATACAAAGTATTATTTGTTTCAGGGGTGTGGGTCTGTGAATCATCAGTCTTCACACAATTCAGAGCACTCACCATAGCACATACCCTCCCCAATGTCCATCACCCAGTCACCCTCCCCCCCCACTTTAATATTTTAAATAAATGAATAAAAGAAAAAAGTTAGACACCCACACATGCAGTCATCTTGAGATTACAATCTGAGTCTGAGGGAAAAGTTACTGGCCATTTATTAACTTAAAAGAAGACTGGGAAGGAGAAAACTAGGAATATGTGTACGTTTGTTGGTCTGTCATCGCTGCGCTCACACCACAGGACAGCTGTAATCGTCCACACCCCCCGCCGGTGGAAGGCACCGGCGTCCCCCTCACCTAGGAGCAGCTCCGGGTTTCGGAGCAGGGCAAGGCCGGCGATCATTGCTTTGTGGTGCTCACAGCACAGGTAAGTCTTGTCAACGGGCCGCCCTGGGGCTGCAGGGAGGTCCTCTGGAGTGTCATCAGCCCGCTGCTTCCTCCTGTCCTTCTTCCGTTTCTTCTGGGCTAAATGAGAGACAGAGATGGTGAGGTCCTATGCTGAGCACGCTAGTCCAGGGAAAGCAAGCCATACCAGCAGCACTGTGCTGTAGCGAGACAGATCCGACTCGAGAACCCACACCCCCGGGCTTGGAGCCTACTTTAAGGAAATGGAAAGGATCCTAGAGGACATGGCCTAGATCTACACTGTCCAATACCATAGCCACTAGCCACCTGTGGCCACTGAACATAAATTACAATTTGAAAATGTTAACGTTTCAGCGCCTGACTCGCAGCAGCCACATTCCATGTGCTCGGGAGGCACACATGGTCAGTGGTTACCGTATTGGGCAACTAAGCGGACATTAAACATCCCCTCCTACTAAACAGCACCAGACTAGGAGACCTGTGAGGTACCCGCCAACTCCAAAGCCCCCCTGAAACCTATCCCAGAGGCCGGCAGTACGGAGGAGGTGGGGGCCACCTGCACCCGGAACTTTTCCGGCTCACCTCACAGAAGTTTACTGAATTAATACAATACAGACGCATATGGAGCCCCGTACCAAACAGACAGCCTCCAAACTGAAGGCATTAAAGTGATAACCACATCTGTGTGGTAAAGCACCACCCCAGCCCCTTATCAACTGAGACCCGGGCTTCACTGAAGAATAACATACACCTCCACTCTGTTTACTGCCGTTTACAGCAGAGCCCAGATGGTAACAGGAAAACTCACAGAGCCGTGTGCCTCTGATCACAGGTACCCAGGTCGCTCTGGCCACCCTGAATGGAGAGTCCAGGCCATGTCCACTTGGGTCCCACCAGTGTGCGGATGACACCTCACCTCTGTGAGACACATCCTTCAGCAACCTGGCTTCAGACTGCACCACATTCCTGTTGCTGAGGAAGATGAGCCGCCGGAAGTAGTGCTTGTCATCCCCCTGCACATCCTCGACCACGTAGCTGCCACTCAAGGGACTGCAGCCTTGGTGCTGAACGGTCCGGACCCCGATGTCCCCACCCACAGACAGAAAGGGCACCTGAAGATATAACAGAGATGTGGTCAAACACCAGCTCAATTAAGAAACATGAGAAATGATCATCTTTTCCCTTTGTGTATGAGAAATCCCCATACCAAGGTTCAGGACACCAAGAACTTCCAAGATTTGCCATTCTAGTAAGAAACTTTCCTGAGGGGTGCCTGGGTGGCTCAGTGGGTTAAGCCTCTACCTTCGGCTCAAGTCATGATCTCAGGGTCCTGGGCTCGAGCCCCACATCGGGGTCTCTGCTCAGTGGGGAGCCTGCTTCCTCCTCCTCCTCTCTTTCTCTCTCTCTCTGCCCACCCCCTCTCCGCCTACTTGTGATCTCTCTCTCTGTCAAATAAATAAATAAAATCTTAAAAAAAAACCCAAAAAACTAAGAAAGCTGTATTTAAAAAGAAAAAGAAAAAAAAAAAAAAAAGAAAGGAACTTTCCTGGGGCCTTTCAAGAGATCACAAAAGGTTTAATTCACTCTTTGGAAAACCAATTAAACCCATAAAGATCCCCCAAACCCTCAGTAAAATGCAAGGTTTCTCCCTCAGAAAAACATGAGTTTCTCCTTGGGAATGCTCAAAGGACTTTCCATAAAACCTAGAGGGAACCTTCCGCAGGGAACTATGAGAGAAGGAAATCTGAGAACAAATCCAGAGAGAAACCAACCATTCTAAGTTTGGCGAACTCTCTCCCTCCAATTATTCTCATCTTTTTCCCCATTTTTCTTAACAGGAGAAAAACACATTTTCCCTCTAGACTTTTCCATTTCCCTTCTCAATCTTTACTTCCATTTCTTTTAAAGACCTCCAAGAGTATTTAATAATCACCAGGAAACCCTGGCTGTGCAGAGACACCGGCACTCCCCACAGGATCTCCATCTCTTCGAGGGACACCAACCCCAATCAAACACACATTCATCTGCAAACACAAGACAGTGTAGTGGGCAGAACCACAGGCTAGAACCGGGGAGTCTAGGTTTATCTTTCCACATGTGCTACCTGTAAGGCACTCAGCTATCAACGACCCTGTCCGAGCAGGATGGAGTAAGACAGACAATGTCAGCAAAAACCTTGTTTCCTTCCCAGGAAAATGCCAGGCCAGCAACGCTAATATCCCGAAAACTCATCTGAACTGTTCTGCCTCTTTTTCATTCTACACTCAGATAATGATGGTTCTAAGAAGCAAAAGACACAAAAGGAGATAAGGAGAAACAGAGTCTGAACAACCCACAGTATAAAGAGCCAGAGCCTGGAAGGTGGAGAGCATTTCATTTCTGTGTGGAGTCTCAGAGGCCCCACAAACATACACGCTACTGCGAGACTCCAAATAGCCACCCCTCTCCCTCCTCTCACTGCCTGGAGCCAAGAGAACCGAAGTACTGCCCACTTGGTTCTGAGCTGCTGCCATGCCCTCCAGGAATAGACCAGGGGCACACACCCTCGTCCTAGCTCCTTCCAAGTCACCCTCTGCCTATGTGGCCGCTAATATGACTTCTCTAGAGATCCGTGAAAGCTGCTGCCACAGCTGTATTACCTGCTGCTGGGCGGGCATCCCGGCGGGAGCCAACTCCATGACTCTGGCTGACAGCTCGGCCTGGATGCTGTCCATGTCCTCGTACCGCTGGCCTCGGTGGAGGGCCACTGTGATCAGCCTCCTGAAGCCTGCACTGGCCGCCAGCTGCTTCCGACCCTCTTCCATGCCAAAGAGCCACTCGGTCTCACGACCCTGGGGGACTGGAAAGAGCACTTGGTGACACAGAGTCCAGGGAAGAGTGTTCAAGACCCAACCAATATAACCTACATGGCACAGAGTCAGCCCCAGTGAAGTCCCAGCATCCCTTCCAACTATGACCCACTGAGGGCTGTCAATTCCCTAGTGCACAATGCCCAGAGCAAAGCAGCCATCAGACACATGGTAGGGCCCATGTGACCATGTGAGGGAGAGAGGCGGGTACCTAGTCCAAAAAAAATAGCAATAATACTAACACCTATTACATGCTAAGCATTATTCCAAGAAGCGTGCAAATAGAAACTAACTGAATCTTCACGACAGGCTAAGATGCAGGTGGTATTATTATTCCCATTTCATAAACGAGGACATTGAGACACAGAAGTGGAATTATTTGCCCAAATTCACACAATTCGTAAATGGGGAAGCTGGGGTTCAAACCCAGGCAGTCAAGCCCCAGACCCCATGCTTGTGTCAACTACACTCTTTGTTCCCACAGGTGGACAGGCAGGATTATGGAATACTCGGGAAAACAGCCGACTTGTCAGCCAATTACCAGGGTGAGGATTTCAACAACTTGCCTTTGTCTAGAATTTCCTACTTCTGAAAGCACTTCGTCATCCTGTTTCTTTTCACCATTACTGAGGTAAACCTGGTATCATTTACACCCTTCACTCATGCCATTTCTGTTTTCCAAGCACTCACCATGTGCGAGCACCACTCGAAGAGACTTTACACCTCTCACACCTACACGACAGTTAACAACCTCCCTTTATAGATGAGGAAACTCAGGCACAGAAAGAAAAGGAATGTCCAAGGTCACACCACGAGGAAGGGACTGAGCTAGAACTGGAACCCAACAGTGGCTTGTTTAGCTACTTCTCTGTACTATCTCCCTAAGTTCGGCAGAGAAGTACAGCAGCTCTCCCCAAGCCATGCAGCTGACAGGCTACGGAGCCGACTCTGCTGCTTCCGGGGTACAAAGTAACTCGCTACACTGTGAGACTTACCTAAATTTATGCCTGTTGCCTCTCTCTCTCCTCCCGACCAAACCCTTTCTCATACTCTACCGAGCCTTTGCAATGGAAGGTGTGAAGAAATAAGCCTCAACTCTTAAGCAGGTGGCCGGGCAGCTGCCTCTCCCCCTCCCTCATGCCCGGGAGAGTCTAACTCCTTGAAGTGCCACCCCCTGCAAGATAAACCGGCCACGGCGTACCCATCCACCAAAGCCCCAGCCCCTATAAGCCAGCCCCTCCAGGGAAGAGAGGGAGCAATCCCAACTCACTGATGAAAATGGCAAAATGATTGTCCCGCGATGGTTTCACAGTGGGGCTGTCCACCACGTGGAGGGTGTAGCGTGGCTCCCCCGTGTCCCCATCGCACAAGTCCAGAGATACACTCCCCAGCCCGGCCTTGCGGTACAGCTGGCTGCACAGCCAGGCATACTGCTGCCGCTCACGCACCGCCTCAGCCAGCCGCTCGGCACTCTCCAGCCGCACAGGCTTGCCCTGCTCCTGAGCACACAGCTCAAAGATCTGAAGGGCAGAGCCAGGGACCGGCCTGAACTTGGTCATGATGAAGGCAAAGACAGGTAGGGAGAACCGAGGCTCTGCTTCCAGCACCCGGTCCTGGCTGCTGGCCACCTGGTGTACCCTCACCATCCACCCCTCCCGAGAGAAGTGACCCACTGCTTTCTTCAGGATGTGAGCCTGAGCCAGGGAGATGCAGAGGTAGCGACCGCCCACCTGCAGGACACGGCCAACCTCAGCCAGCATCCTGTCCACTTGGTGCAGGGTCTTTTCCTCCTCGTCTGTCAGGACAGCGTCCAGGGTGCCCTTGTCCAACACCACCTGGAACGAAGCATCAGGAAACTCCATCTGTGTCATGTCCATCTTCAAGAAGCTCATCTGGGGCCGTCGGCTGGCATTGCGTTCCTTCATTTGCTTGATGACCACCTCACTGATGTCAATGTTCACTATATCCAAATAGCCCACATCATACAGCTGCTCACTTAGCTCCGAGTTACCGCACCCAATCACCAGCACCTGAGGGGAAAAACCCAACAAGATGAAGGTGGTCAAGGCAAAGGAATGACCTGCAATACTTCCAGGAATCGGATCTCCCGTGGCTGGTAAGTTTCCAGGCGGTGCAGATGCTATTGTTGGGAGACAGCATTACCGAGGCGACTCCAGGTTCCATGTAGAAACCGGCTTAGGGAAACTCATCGGTGAAAACCACATTCAGCCACACGATGCAAGCTATGGGAAAATAGGCTTTCTGTACTACACAAACAAGCTAAGGCTGGTTGTCCCCCCTGAAGCAACCATCAATTACTCAAGAAGTGATAGGAAGACACAGAATCCAAATACGGTCAGGTCACAACTCTTCTTTGGCTATTAAAACCGAGTTGTGGCAGAACCATAATCCACTCATGCCTTCGGGTCCACCTCACGGTAGTCTTTTCTCCTTCGGTTTAAGGTGGCTCCGGCCCCAGCACGGAGGCCAAGGCAGGACTTGAACTCACAACCCAGAGACCAAGACCTGAGCTGAACTCAAGAATCCAGCACGGAGTCGACTGAGCCAACCACGGGCCTTATTCCGGGATGTCCCAAAGCCAAACCTGAAACACAAGCTGCTGCCCCCCTCTCTGCACAGCAGTCGTGCACCCAGCCCTCGAAATGCCGCCCCAGTGTCCCCTCCCTGGAAAAGCCTGGTGGGAAGAGCCCAAGTCTTGCCCTGATGGGGCTGAGTCTCAGCTCCCACGGGAGCACTCCCTGCCCACGATCTGCGGCGAGACACCGGCGCTCAGAGCCGCCGCTTCCACCACAACCCATGCAGGAGCCTCGCGCAGTCGTGACGAGATCCCGGCCGCGGAAGGAGCGCACGCGGCACCCGCACAGCCCCGCAATCGGCGCGCCCCCCACCAGTCACCTTCCCGCCCTTCTTTCGGCCCCACCCCCCGCACACCTCGTCTGCCCCAAGCCCCGGGCGCTCAGCTTGGCCCCGGGCACCCCGGGACGTGCCTTCCGGCTCCCGATCGCCAGCGCAGCGCAGGCCGGAAGTGCCGCGGCCGGCCACAGCCCCCGCCGGCGCACTCGGCGTCAGGAAAGCCACGGGGACCGCCGGCTCCACACGGGTGCGCCGTGACGGAAACGCGCCCGCGGCCCCGGGAGGCGACAGCCAGGGTCACTACTGCGGTCACTCTTCCCGGGCGATGACTAACTCAGGGAGGGGCTGGGACAGCAGGTCGCCCACCCCGAAACCTTGCACAGGACGTTTCAGAGCTGCCTCTGAGCCGCGGGGACGCCCAGAGTCCGGAGACGCGGGCCCATGCGGCCGCCGTGAAACGCGGCCCGTCGCCTCCCGCCACGGGCGGCGGGACGGTCCTCGGCGCCCACGCTCCGAGCGCACGCCGGGCGCGCGGCCGCGCTCACCTTCTCCCGGGGCTTCATGTACTTGTGCAGCACCCCGCACAGCTCCAGGTAGCTTCCGTACCACTCGAAAGCCCGCTTCCCCCGCAGCTGGAAGAACTTCTCCCAGTACTCCGCGGAGCCGAACTCCCGGGAGCTCTTGGGTAGGAGGTTCATGCTGTCACCGTCCGCGCCGCGTCTCCGCGACCCTCCGGCTCGCCCCCTGAGGGACCATGGGCTGCGCTTGCACACGCGCCCGCGCCGGCGCCCGGCGGCGGAATTCGGCCCGCACGGAGAGCCGCACGGACTGAGCCCCCGCTCGACCCCAGAGGGGTGACGCTGACACGCAGGCCCCACGCGCGGGACACGGAAACCGAGCCACGGTCACCCGCGCTCCCGGCTCCCAGCCCCAGCCCCACGTGCCGAGCCCCCCACACTCCCTCACCGCGGGCCTCCAGAACCCGCAATCATATCCGGGTGCCAGGCGTCGCGATTGGCCGGCCGCCCGACCCTCCCGGCGTCTCATTGGCCAGTCTTTCGCTCCTGGCACCTCATTGGCCGAGACGCGCTCGCCGCCGACCGGCGGCGGCGTCGCAGGCGCCGAGCGTGGATACGCGCGCGGCAGCAGGGGGCGGGGCCAAGGGCCCGAGTCCGGGCGGAAGACACCCCGCGGCGGCGTCTGCGGGATTGCGTCCGAGCGCCGCGAGAGGGCAGCCTTCCCGGCTCTGAGCGTCTCCTCCGCGGCGGACCCCGCCCGGGCTTCCCGCCATCGGTGCTCGCGTTCTGTCCCAGCGGGCCTCCTGGCCACTTCCGATCTCGAAGGGCGGCGCGCGGGCCGCGGGGGCCGCGGGCAGGAGGAGGCCTCGGAGCAGAAAAGCCAGCAGACCCCCGTGCGGCCAGGGCTGAGGACAGCCCGTGCTTAGCAGAAGAGCCGTCCTCGCCGCGTTACCTTCGGCCTCGCCCTCACCCTCCCTTACTGTCGCCCCTCGACGTGCGTAGTGGAGGTTTATTCTGGAGAAAGCCGGCACTGAGCGTGCTCGTTCTGCACCAGAGTGCGGGATCCCGCCGTTAGTGTGCTGACGGGAACGCTCAGCCGAGGAACAGCAGCTGCGAATTCGGAGGGGCCTCCTCAGCCGCCGCTCCCCCCCGCAGCGCAGCAGGCACGTGTCAGACTCCTCGGACACTCGGCCTCCTCAGGCTGTCCTGCGGCTGTCACCGCGCAGCGGCCGCTACCGCGCGCCTGACAGTGTGAGGGGAACCGCCGGTGCTTCCGGTGCTCCTCTTGCCCTCACGCGCTGACGCCGCTCCCGGCCCGGCCCGGCCCGCGTGCCCACGGGCACCTCGCGGGCTTTTCAGGGCACTCGGCGGCGGAGGGACGCGCAGACCCCGCCGGACACCCGTGCGGGGATGAGCGTCTCTAGTCCGGGCTGCTCGGACCTCGGCAGCGGAGGGAGCCCTCTGGGCTCATCCTCGACGGGGACGCACACTTGGGTTTAGGGGAGCAGTTCTCACTCAGACGTGCGTCAGCATGGCCTGGAAGACTTTCTCTTTCTCAAGGTCGTCTGTGTTTGAGAGCGAGCGCGTGACTGGGGAGAGACACAGCGGAGGGAGAAAGAATCTGAAACCCACTCGGGACCCTGAGCGTGAGATCACGGCCCCTTGTGGAGGGCAGGATCCCACCCGCAGATCCTGACCTGAGCGGAAACCAGAGTCGGATGCTGAAGCCACTGAGCCCCCCGCCCCGGGCGCCCCTCCCCTGGAACCTAGTCCAGCGGATCGCCGAGCCCCACTTCCAGAGTTTCTGAAGATCGGGTCTCTACTGCGGTCTAAGGATGTGCATGTCTAGCAACCTTCTTCGTGATGCCTGGGCTGGGCCCAGGACCCCACGTGGAGAACTACTCTTCCAAAATACAAGGGAAGAGTCACAAAGAATTTAGTTCCCCCTGCACAACTTTAAGAGGTCTGTACACGTGACATCAAAGAAGATCTACTTTCCTCTCCCACCTGCTGAGTTCCTGTTGTGTCCTTTCTGGAAAGGAACTGGAGGAGCCTCTGAGGTGGCTTCTGCTACTTCATCAAGTAGAGTTCCTCATGAGTGAGACTTGGGTCCTTCCAGAAAATGCTGATGGAGAGCTGAGGACACTCTTTGCTCGAAGCGCTCCACAACACCAAGGTTAAAACATTTAAACGACCAACACAAAAACACGGCCTCTGCCCTTTCCGCTGAGGATTTATTCAAGTCCTCAAACATTTAAATGGCCCAAGATGAACCAATCTTTGTGATAAAGCTAAGGGTACAGCGGTAAGCAAGGCAGTCCCGTGGAAGACACCCATCCAACAATCTCAAAAACAATCCGTATGAGGTTGTGGCGAAGGGTGTGAAGGAAAAGTGTAAGGTTCCGTAACGGCCCATACCTCCCAGACCTTGTCTGCTCTGGAGGTGTCCAGAGAAGGCTTTGCTGAGGAGGGACAGAAAGTGTCTATAATCTGTCCGTTTTGGTAAATGCCACGCACCTGAACTTGTCCTAGTAGTAACAGCATAACCTACGTAAGAACCAAGAATTCCACCCTCTGAAGCTGTCTTCAGGACCCATTGGCGCCTGCTTTTCCCTCCGTCCCTATGGTCCTTTCTGTTAATGGCTGGTATTGGGAAGACAGTAAGAAGTGATTTCTGCCATACCAGGCACCGGCCCCTTATTTAACGCCCTCAAACAGGCAGTTATAGTTTGCACTATAAGAGAATGTGTAACTTACCCATCGTCGCCTGTGTCTGCTCCCTCCTTAGAGCCTAAGGAAGCAGTAACAACCACAGAAGTTTAAGCTGAAGTTGCTGCCGGTTTCCTAAAATGTGTGGCTCACTGATGCAGAAATACTTTACGTATGCGTTAGATTCTGGCTTTTAAAATACATTTGAAACGTAGTGCTCTCGGGGTTTGACTGCCAAACATAATTAAGCAGTATCATCCGTATAGTTAGCTTCTGCTAATTCGATGTTAAATGGTGTGTGTTTTATTAGGATCTTCAGAGTGAGCCCTGGTGTGCTTTATAATACAAAGTGAGTGTAAATATGAGCATTCAATGTCACGGGTTTTTTCCCTAAAAATGTAAATCCAGACCTCTAAATATGTAATTTGCAATTACTAGCCTTACTTAATTTAAACATGAGGTTTTGGGGCGCCTGGGTGGCTCAGTTGGTTAAGCGACTGCCTTCGGCTCAGGTCATGATCCTGGAGTCCTGGGATCGAGTCCCACATCAGGCTCCCCGCTCAGCGGGCAGTCTGCTTCTCCCGCTGACCTCTCTCCTCTCATGCTCTCTCTCTTTCATTGTCTCTCTCTACCTCTCAAATAAATAAATAAATAATTTTTTAAAAATGTGGTCTTAGCAACAATAGTCAATGAATTGATTGATGCTGAAGTAATTGCAAAATGGGGCATAGATAATGAAAGCATTTCTTGAATGTGGGGGACAGAGAATAGGATAGAGCTTGTGACAGGCAGAGTAACATTACCCCATGGACGTGTATGTCCTAATTCCCAGAACTTGACAATAAATTAGGCTACGTGGAAAGAGGAATTAAGTTTACTCAGCGACTGACATTAAAATAGGGAGACTAGTCTAGATGATGCAGACAGGCCCAATGTAATCACAAGAGTCCTTAAAAGCAGAAGACGGTGGCAGAAGAGGGAGAACCAGAGAGGTGGTAGCAGGAGAAGGCTCAGTGCAGCATCGCTGCCTTTGAGGATGGTGGAGGGGGCTGGGAGCCAAGGAGAGGGCCTTCCAGCCTATGACAGCAGGAAAGTCAAAGAAAGGTGTTCTCCCTTAGAGCCTCCAGAAGGAACTCAGCCCTGTAGACACCTTGATTTTAGTCCAATAAGACTCCATCGGGCTTCTGACCTCCAGACCTGGAAGACAATTAATACGTATGAAGTTCCTAAGGTTGTGCGAACTCACGACAGTAGCAGGAGACTTCCCCAGAGGGCATACATGAGAGAGTATGTGTGGCTGGGCAGAAGGCTACACTGGGAAGAAGGCAGCAGAAGATAAAACTGGCAACTGGGGTGAACAGCACCTCAGTTCCAAGAAGTCTTCTGTTCTGAGCATTTGGATTAAAGCTGCCAGGCCTTAAGAAGCCAATGAGCAATGAGGGTCATGGCAGTTAGAAAGGATTAATGAGAGATGTTTTCAGGAAGAGCAGAAGCGTCGGCTGTCTGAGCCTCTATGGGGAATAAAGGACCCGAGGACTCAGAAGGGCATTCGAATTGGCCTCTGGATGACTGGGGAGATTTCCCATCCAAAGGAACAAGGAAGGGGAAAGGAGGTCGCTTGTAGAACTGCTGCTTGAGAGGAATTTAGAGGCCACGATGCTAGCCACGACCGGCTACAAGCCAGTCTCCCCGCCCTGCAGGCCTGTGCCAGGGCTCATGCCCTTCTCACATTCTGTCAGTGGCGTCCAAGTGGCCTTCGTGGTCCAGGCCATGAAAACACTTCATGCGTAGGGTGTAAAAGTGTTCAAAGGGAATCTCTCCTTGGTGTCCAGGGAGTGGCTCATGCAGTGCTGGAAATAATTTCTGATGGGAAGTCTTTGCAAATGACTTTGTTTTCCACATTTCAGAAGTTAAGAAATGGATGGTCTCCCGTGTCTTAGAAGAATGGAAGGCAGGCATGACATTCTGGGATAATGTACCATTTTATTAGCTGGCATCGGCACTTTCTCAAAGCTGTTATTGACCTGAGAAATAATGCTCTGGCTGACCCTGGATTCCTAAGATGGGATAATCATAACAGTACTGTTTAGTTTGCGTGGCACTTGCGCTTTGACAAGAATTTCCTTACATTTCCATTCCCAGCCTTGCAGGATGGACACACACAGGGATACACACACATCATTGAGGCGAAACCATATTGATTAAAAAGAATTTACAAAGTTATGTATGGTGGAGGGAATTGAGCCAGCCTGCCTCTGGGTGTTACATTTGATTGCCAGGATTCTCTTTGTTCAATAGTTTCTTGTGTCCGTGTGGTCATCTGTAGGTGCACCGGTTTCCTGATAATGAGTGGACTGCATATCTACCTTTATGGGGGAAAGCAAAGGGCCTGGCATAGCGGGCAAGTTGTTTGCCTTTGGGGCCAGCGGGCAATAACATTTTGAAAACTAGAAAAGGCGAGGGAATGGGGCCAAGGGTGATGGCCTGTGCCTGGTGTGTCAGACCCCCACTGAGGAGGCTCCCGAGGCCTCTTTTTGCTTCTCCTCTTTGTTTTTTGCAGCCTGGTGTTGGGAGAGAGTACACCATCACAATGTTTTTGTCATGATTCTATTCTAAACTTCACTTCCTTTGCAGAAAAAGAAAAAACAGACCTTGGAAACCAAGCTGTTTTTTTCTAAATTCTAGCACTCGGCCCATCTACCATGAGCATCTCATGTATCCTA